TCTTTGGTATCTCATCATACAATTTTACCTTTTTTTGATTAAAGTTTTAAACTTTAAAGCTATGCTAGCGCCTCTTTGACAATTACCAACCCAATTTCACACTTGAAGATTTCACATAATAATGACATCCACTTGCCACATGTGTGAACATCAACTTGCTATTTGTCACTTGTCATTTGTCACTTGTCATTGTCACTCGCACTTATCACTTCTCAAAATGTAAACCGGGCTTTAAGCCCGGTCAGTTTAATGGGTCAGTCACCTACGGCGGCGGTGGGTGACTGACCCCGTTCTAACGGCGACGACAGAACATACACGTGTTGGTTATAATAGTTATTAAATAAAATATTTTAGTTATATATATATATATATATATTATGTACATACTCGTATTTATAATAATTTTGTTTTATTACGAAGTGGTCAGATAGCAATAACATTAAATTTGTCAAGGAATTATTGAAACACGAATGTTTATACAATATTAAATCGCTGAATTTAAAATAATAAAATGATGCGAGACGCTGCTATGCCCTTAATATCTCAAGCAATGAGAATGACCGGTTTCGGCACAAAAGAAGTAGGTATATGCGAAGTTAAAAAGCATTAAGTCTACATATTACCAACAAAAGAAGAAAATTAAAGACTCCTGTAGGTCAGGGGCTGGAGCCTATGCTAGCGCCTCTTTGACAATTACCTACCCAATTTCACACTCGCAGATTTCACATAATAATGACATCCACTTGCCACATGTGTGAACACCAACTTGCTATTTGTCACTTGTCATTGCCGCTCGCACTTGTCACTTCTCAAAATGTAAACCGGGCTTAAGGCTCGCCCACCTTCGTGATAACTCACGAAGGTGGGCGAGTTAATACATCCTACACAGAGTAAGGACCAGAGGGGAAGCTTCCTAACAACGTCGAAAATGTATACCTATTTTGATAGGGTTGTCACCTGATGATTGTGAAAAATTTAAGAAAATATTACAATATTATATAGTATAAAACAACATGTGATTTCATTGTAACTTAAATTAATATAAAAACATGTCTCTTTATTATAACTTAAATTTAAACTGCAAAAATTGTATATTTTGCTAATTTTCATGGTAAGTATTATGTCTTATGGAATCTTGCTGTAGGGTAAGTTGGCGAACATTGAGAAAATACGTGCAATATATAATTAAAAACCACACGAATCGTTCGAGAGAATTCTATGGAAATAGGTATTCTCACAGAATTTCAGAAAAGCTTCATATTATATATTTCTATCAATATCATTTTCGTAAGACAACGTACTCATGAGTTCCTACAAAAAATCAGGTGGTGGTAGTGGGCAGTGGCGGTGGTTGTGGTGTTGATGGTGGTGGAGGTTCAATATTCACCACCACCAACGATACTGCAAGCACCACGACCAACAACAGCACCACTATCACCAAGACCAGCACCACTACCACTGACACCACCTTCACCACTGTCTGGCAATTGTATTACTTTCTCTCGAATTTTTATACATACGTTAGGCATTAATCTATACAGACCACTAATTAATTACTTATATGTATAAATCTGTAATGTCTTATTTTATAATAAACGATCTCTTAACCCTAATAGTAAAAAAAATGATTTATAAAATCAGGAAATATTGTTCTTTCATTTATTTAAATATCGCGAAAGAAAAATCTCACCTCTGATATCATGACTGTTAGACGCGAAATAATTATGTTTTTGTATTTAGAGAAACAATAATAATTCTTTGAAGGAATCTACAACTAATTGGGAATAGTAACAAAATGCTTTTACTGGTAAAGTCTTTACATCCTAGTCTTTAGGTATGTCAACGTATCTGCAATTTAACTCTTTTTTTTTGTTTGATATTATTACTTTGTCGCTGAGCGACCGCATCGTCCCGTTCAAACTACATTTACTTAATCACTACAATCGAATAACAAAATGAAAATATTATAGTAACAATAGTTATGTGCAAGGAACACGCGCGACTATAAACAGTCACACCCAATCACACCTATTCCTTACACAAAATCAAGTCTGTTAGCTTGACCAGCATTTTAGCCTCCTCCGATATTGGATAAGCCAAAATACTGTTCAAGGTGCCAATGTGAAATTTTTTATCACTACCAAAACATAACATTCGACTTATAATTGCTTCATTCCGGACACATTCCATCAAAATATGTTGGACATTTTCAATTATTTCGCATACGTCGCAATTTGGTGACGCCACTTTTTTCATTAAATAGCACATTTTGATTCTTAATCGAGGATAAATGTGGGTGTTTATTGGCTAGCATTCACCTACACCTACTATAAGGTGGACTATGTGCTCTTTTGTACTTAAAAAAATAGTAAGACAATACAACGTACTTAATAATTATTACCTTATTTCCAGGTCAAAATTTTGAGGGACTGCGTGAGAGAATTCAAGTAATACCATGTACAAAGAAGGGTTGCAGGCTTCGTAAGGGCACCAACACTACAGTCATATTCAAATTCAAGCCCAGTACGTATTATTTTGACAACTTTTTGGCAATATCTTCCCTGTGAGGTAATCTCAGGGAAAATTTATGTTCGGCGGTAGACTTTTGACAGGCTGTAATGTAAAGTAAAGTAAAGTTACAGCCTATATACGTTCCACTGCTGGGCACAGGCCTCCTCTCATTTCTGAGAGGGTTTTAGGGGGAAAGGAATAGTCCGCCGCGCTGCCCCAATGCGTGTTGGCGAACTTGTCTTCGAAATATTTTTTTCTTATTCTTCAGACATGCAGGTTTCCTCACGATGTTTTCCTTCACCGCCGAGCACGTGGTAAATCAGCACTTAAAATTGCAATTTACAATTTCATTGGTGCCGGCGGAGATCGCGTATTGTGAAATTTACAGCGAACGCTAACCATCTGAGCTACCACGACTCATGGCTGTAATGAATGATGATTAATGAAATATAACATTAATATGTATAATGTACATATTTGATTAAAATCAATCCAGGTAATATACATTACAAATTAGTCTATTTATTATAAAAACATTAATCAAAAATAGTACTTGCAGTTAAATTACCTTTTTCTAAGTTGGTTAAATATAGATGAATCTTTTGGCTCGTGGCTTGCGAACCAAAATATCCAATCACAACTATTGCCTTTTGCAATACGTTTAAACATGATAGTTTATACGTAGTTTCATTTTATTTATTTATTTATTAGTTTCACATTATTACTGGTTATAAAGAGCATGACGAAGTCGATGAACCAATCTAGTACTGTTATTTTTATTCAGTGAATATTCTTTCTTTTTAAGTTTATAACTTGTTTTATGTCAGCTCATTGTTTTTAAGTTGTCGGTAAAACCTGTCGGACAGAGATACGGATTTTTGTGTAATATGACTGACTCGATATGAATTCTTATTTCCCGTTATTTATTCAGCTATGGCTTATTACTTATAAAATCATAAGAAACTGTTATTTAAAACAAGTTCCTAATGTGTAAAATAATTTATATGTTTTAAAATATACCTCTTTAGGTATAATATGATATGAAGCGTCAATAGCAGATCATAAGCGTGGTGCAATTATTTATTCTTACATAAGAAATAAAATACAGCTCGTTTATCTTCCTCATAAAAACAAACCTTATAATTGTTAACGTAAATGTGCTTACCTACATTATTTATGAACAACGTAAAACATGATTATTCGTATATGTGACTTCATATAATGTCTCAGAACGAATGATGACAAACTATACATGTACATGCACGAAGGAATCGTTGTACGTTGCTTGCCAGCCAGATTGAAATTATACGATGACGATAACATTTTGTACTCGTACATTGGACGCTACTTTTAGTCGCTATACTGTGACACAAAATAACATATTAATTAGATATATGTATATGAGGCGACAGAGGGACAGTGAATCTGGAAATGGGCAGCAGCATCTTCCTGATAACAGTTCAATATAATAAATAACTAATATAATAAGTTATTTATAGGCAAGGCTTACATTTAGTGTTGGACTGCCATAAGCTTGATAAATTAATGAATAAATTTAGAGGCTTTTTGTTCGTTTACCTAAGACTAACTCCGAGAAAATAAAATAAATATAAGTAGGTAAGTTCGCTTTCATAAAACTTACTACAGATATGACAAATTTAGATGATAGCTCGGCTATGTTCTTCGATAATTTAATTTTTGTTAATACCAAATTTTTGGTATACAAAAAGTGAATTTAATACCTATGTCATATATTTTATATAATAGGACATGTTTATGATTCCAGAACACGAGGTGACAACTCTCATAAACGATGTGTATGCCATTGTGGCGGGTTTGCCGCTTCCCTTCCTCGGAGTCACTGGAGTTAGTGCCTGTCCTCAGGTGACCAGAAGCAGTGACGGGTCACCGGCGCCCTGTCCTCTTGCCGCTGGAGAAGAATATACCTACAGCAACGTCTTCCCCATCGAGTCCTTTTACCCCAACGTAGATTTAAGAGTACATTGGGCGCTCCTAGACGGCAAAAAAAATGTGATTTGCTTTGAAGTACCCGCCGTCATCACGCCAGCAAAGAAACATTGATTTTATTTTTTAGGTGTTACAATGCTTTATTTTGTATCAATGTATTAAAAAAATGGTATGTTTAGTTTTTCAAAAAGAAAGAAAGTAAAAAATAAGGATTGTAGAATATTTTTATTTTATTAATTAATTAATTACCTACATTTAAATAAATGTTTTAATATGATAATTGTAAAATGAATTTGTTTAAGCACTGTATTTTTCTAAAACTTTCTCTTTGACTCAAACATTTTGACATTTTGCCACTTATCGTCACAGAAGACCTAGATACTCCTTATCTTAGCGTATTGTGAGCTCACGCTGTCACAGGTTTAATTATTTTGTTAAACATAACTTAAATTTAACACTTAAATATATAGTCTTTCATAATACCCACCACAGTGGTTATACTTATACATAAACATAATAAATTATTTAACAATTTTCGCTGGCACTTCAAAACAAATGATTTCTCCGTCCCGAGATTTTAACGCCCAATGGACATTCACTTCGATTGTAGGATAGAAACTTAGAATAGGAAACGAATCCTTGTACATGTACTTGTTACCAGCTTTAAGAGGGCACTCAGCCTTCTCTCCACTTTCAGTGAACAGTTTATCGCAAATAGAATTGCCGTCAACGCCAACGAATGGCACCTGAACTCCGAGCACATCAGCTTTTACTTCGTTCGTTATTTCTTCCAAGTCGGACTCTGCAAAAGAAAAGATATAAATATAAATTAAATGTGCCTTAAATTACAAGAGTACAATAAGTTACAAGAGGGATATATTACAAGAAGGATATAATAGTTAAAATTCTTACAAGAAAGAAATTATATTTGGCTATCCTATATTACGAATTAATTAATCTTGTTTCGTATTTTGTTTTTAAGTACTGCACTAAAATTGGATCATCATCATCATCATCATTACAGCCCTTCACAAGTCCACTGCTGAACATAGGCCTCCCCCAAGTAATGCCACAAAGCACGGTCCTGAGCCACCTGCATCCATCGACTTCCTGCATGTCTTACCAGGTCGTCACTCCATCTAGTGGGGGGTCGCCCTACACTACGCCTACCGGTACGAGGCTGCCACTCGAGAACCTTTCTTCCCCATCGGTTATCGGTTCTTCGAGCTATATGGCCGGCCCATTGCCACTTCAGCTTACTAATCCGTTGGGCTATGTCGGTCACTCTGGTTTTACTGCGGATATCCTCATTTCTGAGTCTATCACGCAGAGAAACTCCGAGCATAGCCCTCTCCATAGCTCGCTGAGCGACCTTAAGCGTCCTCATACGGCCAGCAGTGAAGGACCACGTCTCCGATCCGTAAGTCATCACTGGCAACACGCACTGGTTGTACAATCTAGTTTTTAGAGATTGAGGTATACCTGACGAAAAGATATGCCGTAATTTCCCGAACGCTGCCCAGCCGAGTTGAATCCGTCGATTGACCTCTCGGTCGAAGTTGGACTTACCTAGTCGGACTATTTGTCCCAGGTAAACGTATTCGTCAACAACTTCGAGCATAGTGCTCCCAACAACTACCGGCATAGGTGTGACATGGACATTGAACATGATCTTTGTTTTGTCCATGTTCATCTTAAGACCTATCCGTTGGGAGGCACTATTGAGGTCATTGAGCATAGTGCTTAAGTCCTCCAGCGATTCTGCCATAAGGACTATATCGTCGGCAAATCGAAGGTGAGTGATGTACTCGCCATTGATGTCAATACCGTATCCTTTCCAGTCCAGTAGTTTGAAAACGTCTTCCAATGCAGCGGTGAAGAGTTTCGGGGATATAACGTCACCCTGTCTTACACCTCTCTGCAGTTGGATAGGTTTCGAGCTCTGGTTCTGTACTCGGATAGCCATCGTAGCCCTACTGTACAAACACTTCAGCACTTCGATATACCGACAGTCAACTTGGCACCGCTGAAGGGACTGTAGCACCGCCCAAATTTCGACGGAATCAAAGGCTTTCTCATAGTCCACATACGCCAGGCAAAGTGGCAGATTGTACTCTTCAGTCTTCTGTACAATCTGCCGCAGGGTATGTATGTGGTCTATGGTACTGAAGCCTTTCCGGAAACCGGCTTGTTCGGGAGGCTGGAAGTCGTCAAGTCTGCGTGCGAGACGATTCGTAATGACTCTCGAAAACAGCACGTAGACGCGGCTCAGAAGGGAAATCGGTCTGTAGTTCTTTAAGAGAGCGTTGTCGCCTTTCTTAAAGAACAAGACCACCGCACTTCTGCTCCACGCCTCTGGAGTAGTGCCACCATGGAGGACGGAATTGAAGAGCTTCTGAAGGACTTCAAGTACCGGTGTTCCACCCGCTTTCAGAAGCTCCGCTGTAATTCCATCCTCGCCTGGGGCCCTGCCGTTTTTAAGGTGCTGGAGAGCCATTCTAATCTCGCTTAGACTGACGTCCGGGATATCATCGGAATAGTGTCGTATAAGACTTGCTCTTGGATCGTTACTCACACTTGCGTGTGGCTCCAACGATGATGTGTACAGCTGCCCATAGAACCTCTCAATCTCACTCAAAATCTCAGGTGTCCTGGAAACGATGTTGCCACACTCAGTCTTCAGCCTTGACAGTTGGCTCTTTCTGGCAGACAGATCTCTGGCAAAGACTTTGGAGCCCTGGTTCCGCTCGATCGCTTCTTTAATACGAGAAGTATTAAAGTTGCGTAAGTCTCGCCGTATGCATTTGGAGATCTGTCTGTTCAGTTGCCTGTATGCTGTCAAATCTGTTGACGATTGCAGCCTCATCTCCCGTCTAACAGCCATGAGATTAAGAGTGTGATCGGAGAGTTTTTGTGTTCTTCTGCGGCGGGTCTTGCAGAACTTAGCTCCGACCGCATGGACAGTTTCCACGAGCTTGTCGTTCATATCGTCCACTGCATTGCAATCTTCTAGGCACTGGAAGCGGTTACGTAACTCGAGCTGAAAGGTTTCGGGATTCTGGATTAGAGCACGAGGGGGACGGAGCGTTGACTTCATTAGACGAGACCTCTCCAACTTAACGTTTAGGTTCAGTGTGCCTCTAACCATTCGGTGATCGCTGCCAGTTTTCACCCTTGCGATCACTGAGACATCACTGAACAGTTGGCGTCTGGTCGTCATAATGAAGTCAATCTCATTTTTTGTCGAACCGTCGGGGCTCGACCAGGTCCACTTCCTGTGGGGCCGCTTCTGGAAGAAAGAGTTCATCATAAAGAGTCCCTCTTTCTCCATAAAGTCGGCCAGCTGCTGGCCCCTTCGGTTCCGTTGCCCTACTCCAAATTTCCCTACCTTCAGCTCACCGCTTTCTCTTGTGCCCAGTTTTGCGTTGAAGTCTCCCATCAACACCGTGTAGTAGGTTTTGGAGGAATGTATGGCTCTGGAAATATCCTCATACATTTCCTCCACCTCCTCATCGGGATGTGCCGAGGTTGGTGCGTAAACCTGAATGACCTTCAGCGAATACCGTTTGGTGATTCTGAGTATCAGGTACGCGACCCTCGTCGACACACTCCCAATCTTTACAACGTTGTTGACGAGAGATTTGTGGACGATAAATCCGACACCTCCTTGGGACAGATGGTCGCCCTCCCGGTGATAGAACAAGTTGCCGGACTCGAGGATTGCCGTATCCTCCCCCTCTCTTCGGACCTCGGATAATCCAATAATATGCCAGCGCAACTTGTCTACCTCTTCTTCCAGCTCCAGTATCTTCTCGTCAGTCCTCAGGGTGCGTGCGTTATATGTTGCCAGGTCGAGTCGTCGTAGGTGGCAACCGAACCTCCACCGGAGATTCTTAGCACCCCCTGCCCCGCCGTTACCATGGTCGCCACCGTAGCCAGGAATAGCGGGGCCGCCGGGGACTGGGGGCCGTCTGTTTGTGTATTTATTCATTGGGGGGTATTTGCCATAGTTGCCACGCTTGGCGAGCGGGTTGGCAACCGCAGTTTTTTATTACGTCACAGTTGTCATCAGGAAGACGCTGCTGCCCATCTCCTGCCTGTCTCCCTCTGTCGCCTCTTACGACACCCACGGGAAGATATGGGGTAGTGGATATTCTTAACCGCCACTACACGGCATACAAAATTGGATTGTAACCATTTATTAAGACAGACCATTATCCCATTTCGTTCCGTGGATGTCGTATAAGAGGCGTCAATGGAAAAACATTTTTGATTATTTTAGACACAATAACTTGGTTATATGACAGTATAACCGCCTTGTTTACGCCAGACGTAATATCTGGACGTCTTCAAGACAAGAGTAAATAGGCTTTTGTTATGCTAAGACAGTGCGAGTTGCCAGCGTCACCTTCATCGCCACTTACCACCAGGTGGGAGTGTGATCAAGTAGTGGCTTATAATAAGTAAATTTTTTTACAAAACATTACGAGAGTTGGGAGACGAAAAAAAAAATTACACGCTGCTCAGTGGGCTGTCGTCGAATGAATGTTGTAAGTATGGTTCTCCTTTTTTTTGCAACATTACAGTAATTTTGAAGCGACAGTAGCCTAATGGTAGGGCGCTGACCGCGAACTCAAATAGGTCGTGGGTTCGAATCTGCCATTCGACTACTGGCGTGAACCACTCGCAACCCAAGCAATTTAAGCTTACTACGAGTGGTTAAGGGGAATATTGGTAATGTTTATAGCATTTACTTTCTTATTTAAAAAGAAATTAAAATATCTCTTGGTGATTAATGGCCACTGCAGTATGTGAAATTTCGAGTATAAAATTGAAAGCCGCACAACCTGTTTTTATACTGACTCCCTGTTGCATCACAATGGTGATGTACAGGTATTTGCCATCAGAAATTGGTGAGACAATAGTGCCCTAACTTATACAAACCCCTATGCAGAAAAGCAGGAAATAAGTCCTATATAGTTCCTATTTCTAGAAGGAACTCATAATAAATGTATCATATGTGTGAATTTTAGTCACGATTTCCTGATGGTGGTAATTGGTGAATTATTAGCTGCCGAGCACATGGTAAATCAGCTATTAAAATTATTAACAGTATTTTTGATATTGACATTGTAAGATCGAGTTCTTGCTCGACTTGTGATATTATACAAAACATGGCTACGAAAAATACGTCGCTTGAATGTTAACTATCTGTCGCGTTTTAATATGTAAATGAACGTAATTATTATTCTATGAGAGTAGTATTGACAATGCTCACTTCATAATATTATTTATAATATTAGAGCTGATTGCAGTTAGCAAACTTAGGTGAATTTAATATTAGATTTACTGATGTCTGAAACTGCTTGGAACTTTTAATCATTACTAAACTAACTCTATTAATGGCTAAAACTTTAATTTACTTATTAATGGCTAAAACTAGGTGTGGTCGGTTGCTTTCGGGTTAACTCGTAGATATAGATATAGTAGTATAATATTCGAAATAACTATAGCTATTAACGTTGTCAAAAATACGAAAACATTTGTAATATTTATTTATAAATTATTCGGACAAATCGGACACACTTATATTTAGCCGGCTAAACCTAGGTGAAACCGCACTTAGGTTTTATTAAACTACGGCACTGACCTCTATATATACAAGTACGCTGGACTGGCTATACCATAGAAAATGACTGTGCCAATTTGAAGCGCCGCTAAAGGCCATAAAATAAAAGGCGCTAAAATAAAATTGACATAATATGTCAAAGTCTGTTGTCTCATTTATATTGTCTTATTTAATAACACCGTAATTACTGAACATAAGTATTTTATGTTGTTTGATTGTGTATAGTAGTTACATAATAAGAATTATTTTTATTAATAATGAGAGTGTGCGTAATCTGTAAAACTCGCTACCAAAAGGGAAGTGGTATAACATTTCACAAGTAAGTGAATTTGCAGCAAATATTAAACAAATTAAAGTATTTGATAATTAATATAAGTACTTAAAAATTTGTTACTAATCTTAATATCATATATACCAACATCTTTGGCTATATATTACTGAGTTTTGATAAACAATAAAATTCAATAGGGTTGTCGAGTTCCTTGTCTATAATACTTATCGATGTTCTTTCCTACCCATATCTGTTAACAAACAAAGTCGCCAACAACCATTGAGCTATTATGTACTACGTACTAAAGGCGACATTGCATTCAGCTACTCTGTTCCACTCAACTGCGGTGCATACACCGCACTTTAATCAGTCACTCACTAGCCGCTAGTAGAGTTGACACGTGTTGTGTTGATTTTAAAAAAATCTCTTTACAAAAATATGCCGTCGTGTGTACTTAGATATTGCACAAATAATTCAAGAAATGTCAGTAAAACCAAGGAATTACTTTTCAATGGCTAATAAGATACTTAATCAATAAAAAAAATATATAGTTTAATAATAAAACAAATTATTCCTAAGACGCCATCTCGTGTCATGGAATATAGATTATGAAATTAATTTGTTCAGATGCGTCATTTCTGTGGGTACTTAAGTATAGGAAGAATATATTATAATACTTACACATTTTTGTTTTGTAGAAACATATATAAGTTATTATAATTAGACTATTTTTTATATTTAAATCTGCTCATTATTCTTTTATTTTATTTTTAGATTTCCACATCAAAGTCAAAGTGGAATAAATTCGTCCATTTTTAACTCTCGCGTGCCCAGCATTAATGAACGACTGTTATTCTAATTTAAATAAATATATTTGTAATTTAAATGTTATATTAATAAGTTGTTTAATATTTGTTGAACATACATTTAGTATGTTTTTTTATATTTGACATAAATACCTTTTAAAAAATTCAGATAGAATATCATTAAAATGTAATTGTGATATAATATTATGTAATATTATATTAAATAAGCAAATATAATATATAAAATAAATGACAAAATTTAAAAATTGTTCTCGATATAATTTACCTATTTAACAATACAATCCACTATTACCTACTGATCATTCTACCTATGTTTATTCTATGATAAAAAAACATCCGCGCGAACACAGAGTAGCGCACATTTTTTGTTTGAAATAGCTGTTCTAGTACGTAAGTACATATTATTTCAATGCCAACAACAGACGATTATCAAATGTTTATTAATTAACAGGTTTCCAACTGAACCTAGACTAAAATTATGGCTTAAAAGCATAAATATTGTGAATTGGCGTCCGAAACAAAATGATCATATTTGTTTAAAACGTTTCACAGACGACTGTTTTATTAGACATGAGAACTGCACCACTTTGAAAAAGTGCAGTATACCGACAATATTTTCTGGTAGTACTAGTGCCAGTAAGTATAAAAGTATTAGATTATTATTTCGAAAGTTTTTTTTTATTTCTTCTTTCCTCATTTTACACCAAACTCAAGGGCCATAGCCAAGTGTCGAAAGGTCGCCTGATGATGTCGAGCCACGGTGTATATATTTTTGTGGGCTGCGGTTAGAGGAGATTCCTCTCCCTGTACCGCTGTAGTCGAGGTGGAGTCTTAAGGGAAGAAGAGTGTTGGTATGGCGATTTGCGCCCTCCTTTCTGCCAAGGAGGGTCGCGTCCGTATACGGCTTAAAGATCTCTAGTTAGACCGTTAAGCCAGTCCCTAAAAGGTGGGGTTTAGTTGGTAAAAGTCTCCACATAACCACGCAGCCGGCTGCGTGGTATACTATGAGCATTCCCCACCTCAATCTCCCGCTTTCCGGAGGGTTGCCCATATTTGCTTCGGGCGCAAAAAAATGGTATGGCGATTGGCGATGCGCCACAGGACCGTGCTTTGTGACATTTCTTGGGGGAGGCCTATGTTCATCAGTGGACTTATGAAGGGTTTTAATAAGGATGAATGATAATGGCATTATATTAATATGATACATAAATAGAATAGACGTTATGGGTAGAGTCCATCTATCCATAGAGTCCATTCTATTTATTTAGGTATGGTATAGAATTTTATCGATATAATTTGCTACACTGTCTTATCCCTATTATTAGTTCCGTGGACGTGCACTTCTTCTGTCAGCGCCAAAATGGCGGAAATCAAATCGCTTCATCATGTCACGGTGTATAGCCAGTCCAGCGTACTTGTATATATAGAAGTCAGTGAACTACGGCCATTTCATATAGCAGGCCCACACATATACAAGAATTTATCACTGATAGCATATGTATGATGTATTTATTTATATTGTGTCAATTGTAGGTTGTGTCAAAATTCTTCTGCTATTTAATAAATAAATAATAATTATGTATTATAACACGTAAGATCATAGGGAGAACGTTAGCTATTTTTAGTAATTTTAGGTTACAATGTTTCTGATAATATATACATACATTTAATAAAATATCTTTTAAGCAAAAAGTAAAAATAAGTCTTAGAGTTTTAAGGCAAATTACGCTATTTTACGCAATGTAAATAAACTTAGGCAATTAAAAAAATATCGTATGCTATGAACTGCGATTGTAAAAATATATAAAGCAAACAATTGTTAGTTGCTTTCACGTTATTATTTTTACCTGGCGTGTTTTTATATAGTAAGGGTGACAAACGAGCAGACAGTCCACCTGATGGTAAGTGTATGCTATTTATCCTTGATTAAGAATCAAAACGCAGATGTGTTGTCACGCCTGAAGAGAGAGGTCTCCAGATTTCTTCACTCACCATACGAAACACAGCAGCATTAAGCTGCTATTTTACACTGGTATTCTGTGAGAGCGTGGTCCTTCCCCGGTTGAGCCGAACCATTCGTGCTACAACCATAATATAGCCGCAGCGTGGCTCTACCACGTATGAAAACTTGTGTGGTTAGTAATGTATTGGTTGGTTCATTTTTACCTGGCGTTATGAGGATATTAATGTGTTGGTCAGTTCCTTTCTTGAGACGGCACGGTCTTGCAAGGGACTTTTTGCAAGAGGAAGAGTTGCACTTTATCCTTCAAACTTTACTCGGATCGACCTGTAAAAGACACGTATAAAAATTATAACCCTATAAAGTACAGCGTAGATATGTTACCGCTAGGCACAGGCGTTCTCTCATTTCTGGAGAATAATGGAGCATATAGCCGGGTAGCTCAGAGGTTTAGCGCTCACTGTATAAATTATACAGTACGCGAGCAACCTGGATTCGCTTCCGGCGCCAAAGAAATTGTTAATTGCAATTTTAAGCGCTTATTTACCACGTGTTCAGCGGTGAAGGAAAACACCGTGTGGGAACCTGCATGCCTGAGAAATAAATAAAAATAATTCGGTGATATGTCAAGTCCGCCAACACGCATTGGGGCAGCGTGTCGGACACGTTGTTTGCTTTACTTATTATACTTCCTTACCTTCTCTGAAATGAGAGGAGGCCTGTGCTCAGCAGTGAGATATATACAGACTGTAACTTTAATTTTAATGGAGCAATTTGCGCGCTACTCTAGTGTGTGTTGGTGGACCGGACCTTACATGTCCCCGAAATATTTTATACACTAGTCATATAAGTTTCCTCACGATATTTCATTCAACGTCGAGCGCGTTTTAGGTAAATCAAGTGCCGTGGGGCTGCACCTAGTTTGTGTACCGTGCAAATTTACAGTGAGCTCATAGCCTCTTAAAATATATATGACATAGATAGCTAGGTAAAATATTTTTAATGTTATTTGCGTTTTATGTATGCCTCATGGAGCTTGTAAAAATAGTAAAAATTATAAAAAGTAGTTCATTTTTAATTTTCAAGGATTGGAGATCTCATGAGTATACAGGGTACAGACTGAGTGGCGCATTAAGATACGACAGTATAAAGAAAGTCATATCTATAATATACCTATAATACTGAGAGGAATTTACTTAGAGTACTTACGAGCCAGGCTTGCCAACAGTTCCGCGAGAACCGGGACATCCCGTGCACATCTTTCGCTAAGAGGTACGTTTTATTGTATATACGATAAAATTTAAGACACCTATTCTAATAACGATTAAAAATACTTAAATATGTTAAATCACAATAAATTATTCTTTTAAAATAGACATAACTATAACGATCCCAACTGTTCCCATTACCATCCATCCGTTACAGCCTACAAAAGTCATAATTTCAAATTTTATACGTGTATAAAAGTTCATAATTTTATACGTGGTAGAGCCATGCTCCAGTTATATGAGTAGTACAGTTGTAGCACGAATGGGTCGGCTCGACCGGGGAAGGACCACGCTCTCACAGATACCAGCGTAAAATAGTAGCTTAATGCTGCTGTGTTTCGTATGGTGGACCCTTTTTACTGGAAATGAGACATTTTATCTTAGTCCTCACGGGTGACGATGCATCTGCATTTTGATTCGTAATCGAGGATAGATGTAGATGTCTATGGGCCACAGCAACCACTAACCGTTAGGTGGACCGTGTGCTCGTTTGTCATCCTTTCCTATGAAAAAAAATTTCTCGTCGAGCGCGTTGTCAACCAACCCAACTCAAAAAAAAATACGTGTGGCACTCGGTGACTGCCGCGGTAAAGCTATTGCATAGCATTTTTTATCAACTTAAGCAATTATAATTATTTATTTATTTTATTTATGCAGTTAAGTCCGTGATATTAAATCAAGTTACACTTTTTGAGCGTGGTGACCGATAAGAAAACAGTTTTTTTCTCTTATTGAATAAATGAGAAGTTAATATTGTTTAAAATATTTTTAATATCTTACAATACATGTAGGTTATTCAGGAATTTTTATCATTGAGTTAGCAGCTAGTGTACACGCATACGTCTAGTTGCACGCACACAAACACCGTGCCGAAGTCTGCCGAGTGCCGAAGTCTGCTGAACTGAAACGACGTTAGACGATGCACGGCTTTCAACGCCACACCTCCGTGCCGTTTTGCGCCGTGGAGCGTGAGGTTTTTTTTTCGTTACGGAATTTCTGGATTCGGTCCCCGCGCTCAAGGCCCGCGATAGAAGCTATGCAATCGCTTAAAAATATATCGCCTGGAGTTACTGTGACTGACACTAGGTGGTTAAGGGTTAAGGATACTTAGATTACATAAATAATAATTTTTCCATTTTATGATAGTTTTTTAAGTTTGAACTGTTTTTGTGTATATAAGGTAATGTAACATAAAATATTATATAGATGCGTAAATATTAGGTAGATACTGTACATTTTTTTAAAGAAATTAATTCAAGTTTAGTGTTTGAACTTGTGTAGAACTAATTAAACCTATTAAGTATAACAATGTCTCGTCCGATTACAAGCATAATATGGGACTATTTTGCGAAGTTAAGTGTATATATAGTTTTATATGTGGTAGAGCCATGCTCCAGTTATATTAGTAGTATAGTCGTAGCGCTTAATGGGCAGGCTCGACCAAGGAAGGACCACGCTCTCATAAAATACCAGCGTGAAATAGTACAGAATGGACATTGTGTAGAACTAATTAAACCTATTAAGTACAACAATGTCTTGTATGCTTACAAGCATAATATAAGACTATTTTGAGAAGTTAAGTGTAATAAATTAAAACTGTATTCTTTGGAGTAAACAGTAAAATAATAATTCATTATATCGCCATCTACTGCATTTTATACGTAAAATGATTTTATCGAACAAACATTGATTGACTTTCAAGGTGGTACGAAAAAAATACGCTAGATGGCGTAAACACGACATGATTTCATTCTCTCGGTGGCTAAATTCAATTGATATATACTTGTATGTAACTTGTTATGTTATCGGATTTTAAGGATGGCATAATACACATTTATGGATATAGGCATTTATATCCTATTGATATAGACTTATATGTCACTTCTTATATTATGAGATTTTATGGATACTTAGTTTACATAAATATAATTTTATTAGTTTTATGATAGTTTTTTAAGTTTGAACTGTTTTTGTGTATAAAAAGTAATGTAACATAAAATATTACTTAGATGCTTAGATATTAGGTAGGTACTGTACATTTTTTAAAGAAATTAGTTCAAATTTAGTGTTGGACATTGTGTAGAACTAATTATACCTATTAAGTATAACAATGTCTTGTCCGCTTACAAGCATAATATGGGAGTATTTTGAGAATTTAAGTGTAATAAATTAAAACTGTATTCTTTGGAGTACACAAGTAAAATAATAATTTGTTATATCGCCATCTACTGCATTTTATACGTAAAATGATTTTATCGAACAAAAATTGATTAACTTTCAAGGTGGTATGCTAAAAATACGCTAGATGGCGTAAACACGACATGATTCCATTTTCTCGCTGGCTAAATCCAATTGATATATAATTATATATTACTTGTTGTACATTTTTTAAAGAAATTAGTTCACGTTTAATGTTTGACATTATGTAGAACTAATTAAACTTATTAAGTATTACAATGTCTCGTCCACTTACAAGCAAAATATGAGACTATTTTGAGTAGTTAAGTGTATATAGTTTGTACATGGTAGATCCATGCTGCAGTTATATTAGTAGTATAGTTGTAGCACGACGTTAGACAATGCACGGCCTTCAAGCCACACCTCCGTGCCCGTCGGAGTGGGGAGCGTGAGGTTTTTTCGTTACGGCGGAATAAATTTCTGGATTCGGTCCCCACGCTCAAGGCCCGCGATAGAAGCTATGCAATAGCTTAAAACTGCCAACAGTTTTTTATTTATTTTGAGTTGTTATCTGGAATGCATATTCCTGCTGCCTATCAGCTAATATAACTGCAGCATGGCTCTACCACGTATAAGCCCATATTAATTAATGCCAAATGGATTTACTCAGACTTTATTACCAACATATTGACTTACTCAAGGGATTAAAATTGAAATAAGAGGTCGATAGCCAATAAAGAAGTAAAATTCATCAAAATTATAAAAATATTTCTTGTTCAACGTAAGTGACAGGTGTACAATGTACCATAATAGGTACCTAATCAATTACTGCAAGATGGATTTACTCAGATTTTATTACAAACATATTGTCTTACAACTATATCGATTTTTGAATACGCGAGTAGAATTAATGATTCAAAATTAAATATCAAAGCTAAGCTTTTTTCTGTTTCTAAGCTCTTTAAATAAACTAGCTTTTAGTGAGGTTCTAACCTGACAACACGCTAAGCTGTTTAAATGCCCAAAAACATTAAATTATAGTATTGTCATATTTAATAAATAATACTTAGTTTTAAAACAACTAAAACTAATATTAAAACTTAATATCTGAAACATAGTTTAGATTGTTTTTACTTGACGTTACTGTAAATTAAATTATTACTTAAAATTAAATTGGCTTACAAAATCTACGACTAAAGGAGTTTTCATTCTTCGATACACCATGTCTTAGTACCGATATCAGAAGCTAATAAGTGGAAATTATTTTATTTATTTTTTAAAGTAAATGTTTTCCCATTTTGATTTGACAAACTCAGGACAATTTAACAATTAGTTAAATGTCGTCTAATTGGTTACGATAAAAAACTAATCACTTATTTTTTCATTCTCAGGAAATATAATATACTAATATGAAAAAATATATAGTAAAGTCAGTTGCGGCAAGTGCGATATAGTTTTTCAAACATTATCTTTAGTTATATATATTTTATCTATACATATAATAAAACAGTAACGAAAGAAAAACTGTGCATTGAGAAAAAATAAGTGGCTTTTGTTAGAAAAACGTAACTGATGACAAAAAGTGACGTTTTAGAATTTTTGTCTGTTTGTCTGTGTGTATGGTACGGGCATATAGATTGAATTGAAATTCAGCAAAAATGTACTTGGTAAATCAAGGAAGGTTTTAGACTACATATTATCACGCCGTATGTTATAGGACGTAAGCAGTATTGATTTTAAAAGGTTTTTATTCGTAATTGAATGTACAAAATAATTGAATGCACAAAATGACGTGTTATTTGTTAAAATAAAAATTTAACTCTGGGAACATAATAATCACGCTATTTTTATAAAGGAGCGGGGCAGTAATATTTTAAATTGCAAGGGAACAGCTGTTTAACAATATGTCAACGGGGAATTTAGCGGTAAGGTCAGGCGACCGTTTACCGCATTAAATGGTGCGAGTTTAAATCCTATTGTTTTGAAAAATCGTAATTTTTGTTTAATTTTTGCACCTTTTATGTGCATTAGGAAATCTGAGAACTTTACATTTAAATTCTTAGTTTTGTTCCTTGCTTCTGTTACCATATTTTTAATGCAAAAATAATTTACTTGTCTATTAAATTAACGACAATTTAGTTTTAATACATAATTTAATTAATTCATTTGGGTAAATAATATGTAGTTTCCGTTTACTAACTAGATGGCGTTGGCGTCGAGTTAGATCGCACTATGGTTTCGTTTCTAAAAAAGTGATGTTATAGGTGCCGATGGGCCGCTCTCATCCTATAGAAACGGGGGTTACCTTTGTTGTGTGTGTTGGTTGATGTATTTAATTTTCCTGCGAATAGTTTTTTTTTCTACTTAATAGCAATTCTTACGTACTTATTCGATTACTTTTCATTGTTTTGAATATCGTTAGTATCGGATTAAGAAGGAATTTTAGCTATTTGCCTTTTAGAAAAAGATCAAATCTGTCTCGAAACTCAAGGGTTTCTAAGATGCGCAGGTTAGTTATTAGTAGCAGTAGTTTCTCTCGAACCCACGCAGAGCATGAACAACGGCTAGGTGCTAACCGTGAGCGTTTGCACTAAGTTTGTCCGCAGAAACTAGCACGCAGCGCCAATTACGACTAGAATTTAAACGAGTCCGCACTACTGCTTCTCGATCTCAGGAAAGTGTGGAACAACGAGACGACAATGGACTATAGTTTATAAAGAATTTTTTTTAAAGTGATTTGCAATATTATTGTTAATTCGGTGTACCCTTGGGATTCGGTGCATTTCGCACCGGATCGGTGAA